GGCTTTTTTTTTCTTTTTGCTTATGTGGTGCTGAGGAATCGAACCCAGGGCCTCAGGCATACTAGGCAAGCACTCTACCACTGAGCCAACTTCCCAGCCCTGCAATATGTGTCTTTAGAGCTCTTCTCCAAGAGTACAGGTTTCTTCTCTGATCCAGGAAGTCACTGGTGCCAGCCGAACCCCTGAGCTGTTATAACCAGGCATCTCCTGAAAGAGGGAAGTGAGCTTTCTGCTTCCCAGATAGAATGAAGGTCTCAGACAAGTCCCCCAACTTGTTGACCCTACCTCTAGTGTCAGAAAATGAATAGGCACACAGATAATAGATTTCATCAAGGCATCTTACTTCTGTACAGGGGGGTACTCTGCCACTCTTTCCAGAGGCTAGGCAGGCACTCAGGATGGGGGTGGAGGAAGGAGGGTTCCTGCTTGGTTTTTATCCTAATTCAAGAAGTGATGTCCCTTTTCACAATTTCTTTCCAATTGGTTGCCAGGGTGATGGTAATACAGGGAAACTTAGAAAGCATTCTAACCATCCATGAAAGGTCCATAAGGAGAGGGATGGCTGTCCTTTTGGAAGCAACCATGCACATTTTTCCCATTATAGCTGACAGGGAACAGGGTTGTGAATGGGTCTGAGGCTGGGCTGCTGACAGTTATAGACGGAGAGGTCTGTAAAGTCAGTGGAAAGTTCTCACCCAAAGAGCATCTGCTCTTGAACTTTGTTGACCAAGATTTATATAGCTGTTATGACTGGCTGATCACAAACAGCATAGACGATATTTACAATTGAAGTTAAGAAGCAAATGATTCCAGTAAATATTGGTACCAGGAAATATCAGTATACAATGGTGGCTGCTTACAAGATGGAGACATTTTAGTTGCACTGAAAAGATTGCTTTTTCTCACATGATGTCCCAGGTGTGTTATGTAGGAAACATTTCTTACCTACTATTTAGTCCTAATTGGGCCCCAATTTGCATTTGAGTTTATTCGGTTCAATGTTTTTAGGCATCCATTTTAAAGGTTAAAATAATGTAAACAGAGATTGCCACATTCCATTAACCTAACAAGAAATAAAAACACAAGTGCAAAAAATGAGCCAGTCACTGTTCTGGACTATGAAGACGGGCAGAAATTGCATGCTGAGAGAAAAGCTAGAGGCACTGTTGTGAAATATGGATGCAAGGTCTAATAGCACTATGTTCAGAGTTCACTGGAGCACTGAGTACCCAGAGCTGTGAAAACACGCTCTCAGTGCTGGTAATGTGTGAGAGATATGAGGGAGCAGAGAAGTGGATGGAAGCGTTTTCTTGGTAAGTAGCACAAACCAATACAGGAAGCTATTCATCAGCTCCCCGTATATAGGTACCCACCCCTTGGCCTCTGTTTGAATGATTTCTATCATCTGCATACAGTAAACGTGACCAAACCAGGTACCAGTGGCTCACCCCTGCAATCCTAGCTAACTCTGGAGGTAGAGATCTGAGGATCAAGGTTCAAGGCCAGCCTGGACAGGAAAGTTCATGGAGATTCTTTTTTTTTTTTTTTTTTTTGGGGGGGGGGGTGTCCGGTCGTGGGGCCTGAACTCTGGGCCTGGGCTCTGTCCCTCAGCTCTTCAGCTCAAGGCTAACATGCTCTACCACTTGAGCCACAGCACCACTTCCAGCTTTTTTCTTTTTGCTTATGTGGTGCTGAGGAATCGAACCCAGGGCCTCAGGCATGCAAGGCAAGTGCTCTACCACTGAACCACCTTCCCAGCCCTCCATGGAGATTCTTATCTACAATTAACCAACAAAACACCAGAACTGGAGCTATGGCTCCTATGGTAGAGCACTAGCCTTGTGTGAAAAGGCTAAGGGATAGAAGAATCTAGGCCCTGGGTTGAATCCCCGGTATTAGCACTAAATAAATAAACAAACCTGGCCAGAAACTGCTTACCCCTTGTACAACTATCTCTTCCAACTTTTCATTATGCAGATTCACTGTAGGAAAATGCAGATTTTGAATTGACCTCTACATTGTACCTTGAAATGACTTTATCTCTTGGCAAATACAGTTCTTTTTTTGAGCATCTGCACCCTAAGATCATATGTTTTCAGGCAAACACATATAAATTCTGGAGGATGAGCCTGAAGAGAAACAGTCTGTGCAGTAACAAGCCGATCTCATGGTGAAATGGCAGAATAGTATCATTCTTCTACCATCTGTAGCACCAGGATGAAATGACAGCTTCTCCTTTTATGTCATCAAGTTGCTCATTGCTTTTCTACCTTAGGAGCCAGAGGCCACCGCTAATCTTCCTTCATTCTCTGTTCTGGCACGAACAAAACGTGTTTACAGCTTCTCTCGGGATAATTATCATTCTTCCAATCTAAAGAAAGTAACCTTGAAGGAAAAAAGATTCTTCTACAGCATTCTTCCTAGGTAACTTGGTAGCTATTGTGAATGGCAAGTCTGTGTAAGTTCAAATAGGCTTGTCCATTTAAAAACATATGTGAGAGAATATGTAACTATTGCTTCATAGACTAGGTATTATTCACTTTTTTTGTACCCGTCCTGTGGAGTTTGAAGCGTGCTTGGGTGCTGTCTCTGAGCATCTTTTACTCCAGACTAGCGCTCTTATCAACTCTTATCACTTGAGCCTAAACCACTTCTCTGGGGGTTGTTGGATCCTGGCTTTCCTACGCAAACTAAAAAGATTTGCATAATTTTCTTGGATTTCAGTACTTAGTAAATATGAAATTAAATATTTATACTCTAATTCTGAAGTCATAAATTATTCATACCTCTGGAAACCTTTCTGATACAGGTAATATAAGGGATTAGAAAGTATTTGAAAGAGAAAATTTCCATATTGGCCACAGCCAATATAAACTCCTTAAAAAGTGCAGATAAAAGTAAAATAGCCATTTGAGTGTCTTTGACATATATTTATAGTAAGATAGAATAAGTTCCATTAGTTTTTTCTGCACCAGATTTCCAAGTAGTGAGTTATTACTAGTTAGAGACCGGAAACAACTTATACATGTTTTATAATACCCTCATCTAGACAAAGATCTTGATTCTTGCTTGCATTATTTAAAGCAGTTGGCAAAATACTCTTTACTCTTCAGGGTTTCCAACTGACCATTTTTATGCAGAACTGAAACTGATTTAAGGAACCTGTTTTTAATTCAGTGTTAAAAGGACTTTCAAGGTCTTTGAATCAAGATTATGAATTCATGTGGCTTGCTTTAAGTTGGATATACTAGTGGTATGTGTTGTTTTAGTAAGAGAATACTTGAAATGAAAATATTCTATTCTAATGCCTTAAATTGCTGTCCTTGAAAAATAATCACAGTAGAGCTGAGGTTGCTTAAAACATAATTCAATTTATTCATATCTTAGGAGTGAGGCCATGATAGAAATGCAAACACAAAAGTGCTTTTCTTAATAGAACAAACTACAGAAAAAATATAAAACAGAATAACCTTAGAAGCCCCTTAAGGGCTTCTAAGAGCCCTTAAGAGCACTCCACTGTGAAGGGAACATTGCTTTTCAAATCTGGATTGTTAAGAAGTATTGCTGGACACATTCTTCTCAATAAACTCTTCCTGAGGCCAGACAGGGTGGAGCATACCTGTAATCTCAGCAGTCAGGAAGCAGAGGCTGGAGGATCATGAGTTCTAGGCCAGCCTCAGCAATGTAAGTCAGATTGAGGCTGATCTGAACTACAAAGCAATATCCTGTTCCAGAAAGCACAAAATAAAATAAGCTCTTTCTTCGCTTGGATGTTACTCAGTACACTATTACATCATGGATTGTATGCACTTGTTCTGGGAGTTCTCCATTCTCGTAGGGACGTCTCATAAACGGATGATGTTAAAGCCTTGGATTACCCAGTCTCTCTGAAAGAACTATAATCTCATTTAAAAAATATTCTCTGGATAGAAGCAGTGAGGAGGGAGAGAAAGAAGGAAGTGAATCTGATCAAAGTACATTGTACATACTTATGGACAGGTTAAAATGAAACCCACCATGTAGAATTCATTGACAATAATAAGAAAATGTGGAGATACAATAACCTCGGATCCAGATTTTTTTTGGGGGGTGGGGGGTGTCCAGTCGTGGGGCCTGAACTCTGGGCCTGGGCGCTGTCCCTCAGCTCTTCAGCTCAAGGCTAGCACTCTAGCCACTTGAGCCACAGCACCACTTCCGGCTTTTTTCTTTTTGCTTATGTGGTGCTGAGGAATCGAACCCAGGGCCTCATGCATGCAAGGCAAGTGCTCTACCACTGAGCCACCTTCCCAGCCCATCGGATCCAGATTTTTAGCGATTAAAAAAGGAAAAAACTAATTCTTATTTGGTATACCACTACAAAACAAATGGTCTCCAAAAGAAGGAAATGTTGGGGCTGGGAAGGTGGCTCAGTGGTAGAGCACTTGCCTTGCATGCATGAGGCCCTGGGTTCGATTCCTCAGCACCACATAAGCAAAAAGAAAAAAGCCGGAAGTGGTGCTGTGGCTCAAGTGGTAGAGCGCTAGCCTTGAGCTGAAGAGCTGAGGGACAGCGCCTAGGCCCAGAGTCCAGGCCACATGACCGGACCCAAAAAAAAAGAAGGAAATGTTGCCAAATCACCCTATCAAAAAGAGTGGCCAGTTCGCTCACACCTGTCATCCTAGCTACTGAGGAGGTTAAGATCTGAGAATCCTGGTTCAAAGCCAGCCTGAACAGAATAACCCAGGAGACTTGGCTCCAATTAGCCAGCAAAAAGCTAGGATGGAGATGTGGCTCAAGTGGTACAGCCTCCCCCCCCCCCCCCCCCCCCAGCCTGGAGTGGAAAAACCAAGTGAGAGCATGAGGCTGTGCATTCAAGCCCCAATACTGACATGGAGAAAAAGACCAACAGAGAAAAAGACCAACTTAAGATGGATCTCTATCCTGGTTGAAAAGGCATAAAAACACACTGACTACTCACAGAAATGCTCACGATCTGGCTTGCACTCCCATATCTGTTCCAGGTGTTGCCCCGTCTGCAAGCTTCCTGGGAGAGTCATGGGGATCCGGGTACTACGTTTCTCTCTGGTGGTCATCCTTGTGTTACTGCTCGTGGCTGGAGCTCTGACCAACCTACTTCCAAATATCAAAGAAGACAAGATCCTCACCCTGCGTCGGGAGATGAAACCCCAGGGCAAGCCCCCCCTGGATTCCTTTACTCTCATTATGCAGACGTACAACAGAACGGATCTCTTGTTAAGACTTCTAAATCATTATCAGGCAGTCCCTCACCTCCACAAAGTGATCGTGGTGTGGAACAATGTTGGAGAGAAAGGGCCAGATGAGTTGTGGAACTCTCTCGGGCCACACCCTGTCCCTGTGATCTTCAAACCGCAAACCACAAACAGAATGAGAAATCGATTACAGGTCTTCCCAGAACTGGAAACCAAAGGTGAGTTAGGGCTGAAATGTAAGTCTGATAGGGCAGATGTAGGGATGTGGATTCGGGATTCTTGCAAAACAGTTGTCTCTCTGGGCACTAGTGGCTCATACCTGTAATCCTAGCTACAGGAGGCTGAGATCTGAGGATTGAAATTCAAAGCCAGCTTAGGCAGGAAAAGTCTCTGAGACTCTTCCTCCTTCTCCTCCTCCCCCCCACCCCCCCACAGTTTATTAGAGATCAGAGTCTCACAGACTTTGCTGCCCTGGCTGGCTTCAAACCATAATCCTCAGATTTCAGCCTCCTGAGTAGCTAGGGGTTACAGGTGTGAGCCACCAGCCTAGGTTTTCTGAGACTCTTATCTCCAATTAACCTCCAAAAAGCCAGAAGTGGAGCTGTAGCTCAAGTAGTAGAGCGCTAGCTTTGAAGAAAAAAGTTGAAGGAGCTTTGTGTGACCCATGCAACAACTATATTCACAAGACAATATGTTGGAAATGATCGGTACAACTTGAGGGGAAGGGATTCAGGGGGAGGGAAAGTAGGAGAAAAATGAGGGATAGAGTAACAAGTTTGACAAGAAATGTACTTATTACTTTATGTAACTGTAACTTTATGTAACTGCACATCACCTTGACAATAAAAAAAAGTTCAAGGACTGCACCCAGACCCTCAGTTCAAGCCTTAGTACTGGTGCGTGCACACGTGCGCATACACACACACACATACACACACACACACAGAACACTTTGAAAAGCTGAAGGAAGTTTCCAAGATTTCAAAGAGCAGTTTGCTGGTGAGGAAATTACATATATCTTGCAGCAGTAACAAAGAAGCAATATTGTTACAATAAAAAAAGTTTGACAAATGCTATAATATACATGATTAATTATAGCAAAAGTAGTAAGATGCTGTTTAGCTTATGCTTCATACGTTTTTGTCACTCTCTTCCTCCTATTTGTAACCCTTTCATGAGGTTGTAATTTGCTTATAAGAAATTTTATTTGTTTTAAGCTCCATTAGTTTCTAGGATGATGGATGCTAATTATCTGCTTATTTCCCTCTGGGGCTATTATGAAATCAATTATAACTCAAAAAGAATATTTTCTACTAAATAAATCTATCAGAAGACAGTTATTACTCACTAACTGGATCAGAAAATACTTCATTTAAATGATCTATTTAGATACAATTGTATCTTATTGCTTTTGTTTTCAATTCCAAAGGGTTCAATGTAAATTTATTTTCCTTTCGTTTCAGCGGTGTTAATGGTGGATGACGATACACTCATTAGTGCCCAGGATCTTGTTTTTGCTTTCTCAGTGTGGCAGGTAATGTTGCTAAAACTTATCCAATGCTTAAATCAATATGCTATAGTTTAATGTGGGAGTTACTCAAAACATCTTAAGCAGTATATTTCTAAAACATAAACGAAATCATCGTAAGCTGATCAAGATTTCCAGAGCTGAATTAAGCCATTTTGAAAGTTGGTTTAATATTGGGAAGTATAGGGAAGAATAGCTGGAATTATCTCCTAGAGAACAACTGAGAACTCATTTGACACAGGAAAGATGAAAAGAGATCATTTCTACAAGCCATAGACAAGTGTCTTGAATGAGAAATATACTTCTGTGTGTGTGTGTATGTGTGTGTTGGTCCTAGGTCTTGAACTTAGGGCCTGGGCCTGTCCTTGGGCCTTTGTGCTCAAGGCTAGTGCTCTACCACTTAAGCCACAGCACTTTTTTTGTGTGTGTGGTTAATAAGAGGTAAAAGTCCTGCAGACTTTATTGCTCAGGCTGACTTTGAACTATGATCCTCAGATCTGAGCCTCCTGAGTAGCTAGGATTACAGCCACTAGCACCCAACTGTATCAACATTTTTAAAAAGCTTTTTGAGAATGAATTTATTATCTCAAAAAATGCAATACCAGTTTAGAAATGTCTGCATTTGCCATTTGACTGTCAGGTATTAGTTTCCTTTATTTTTTTTTCCTAAATCCTAAATGAGCATATGTTGTCACTAGCACTCTGTCGAATATGTAGTACTAATCATAACTAACTTTTACAAGTTGCACTATAATTACCTGAGATCAGAACTGCATTCAGATACTCTCAAGGCTGTACCATACATGGTCTCATTTGTACTGTAATAATTCCTTTATTAGCATGAATGGTAGGTTGTCACAGTTCCATGTATATAGCAGCCTTCTGAAATCTGTGGTCTTAACTTCATGCCTGCATTGCTGATGAATTATGTCAGCAGTTTAGATTAGTAGCTTTTCCCAGTCCTATAAATAAAAGCTTTTTAGGCTAAAAGTACTAAAGTAAAACATCAACTGTGAGATTTCTATTTAAAAAATAAAAATCAACCTACTCCAAATGTAAAGATGAAGGCAGGCACAATATGAGGATTATGAATTATCTAAGTAAATCATAGTTAAAGATAAACATAAACTGTTCTCTGATGGCCCATACCTAGAATCCTAGTCCCTGAGGAGGAATTGTTCATGGTTCAAAACCAGACTGGGCAGACGAAACTGGGAAACTTTTTTCCTCCAAATAACCAGCAAAAGATCAACCTATAGGTATGACTCAAATGGTAGAGTGCCAGCCCTGAATGTAAAAACATCCAGCAAGAATGTGTGAGGCCCTGATTTCAAACCCTGGTACAGAGGTAGGAGCGGGGAGGGGGCACAGCACATCTGTGCAGATCAAACTTCCTGGCGAGAAAAGCTCTGAGCTTAAAAGAACTTTTTCAGCCAGGCACCAGTGGCTCATGCCTGTCATCCTGGCTACTCAGGAGGCTGAGATCTGAGAATCACAGTTCAAAGCCAGCCTGGTCAGGAAAGTCCATGAGATTCTTTTTCTCCAGTTAACTACCAAAAAGCCAGAGTAAAGCTCTGGTAGCCCTACAACAGAGATACAGTGCTAGTATTGAGCCAAAAGCTCAGAGAAACAATGACCAGACCCTGAGTTCAAGCTCCAGGACTAGTGTGTGCACATGTATGCACATTTGCGCCTGCATGTGCGCGCATGCGTGCACGCACACACACACACACACACACACACACACACACACACACACAGACTTCCTGGCAGAAAAGTCCAAGCTGTATGAGGTGGGTGTATATGTGATTCCAGCCACAAGGAGCCTCAAAATAGACAGATCAAGGCTGGGGGCTTGCACCTAGGTGGGAAGCAAAATCCTGTCCTAAAAATAACCATGGAACAACAGAGCTGGAGGCATGGCTCCGTAATAGAGCCCAGCTTAGTAAGCACGAGGCCCTAGGTGCCAACCCCAGTACTGAAAAAATAAAAGAGAGGTATGAACAGGATTTTTAAAGTTTTAGTCAGCAACTAGCAAGAGTATAATTTCCAGTAAGATAATCTGATTCCTTCCACGAGTGACAGGAGTTCCTTGTGGAGTAAATTAGAGCACGTGGACAAGAGGAGAGACTCAGTGTGCACCTCTGGGCCTGTACTATCTGTTCCTCCATCCTCACTGCTGTCCCCAGCCCCTCCTCCATCCAGCTGTGAAAGCCCCTTCATTCTCTGCCTTGTCAAGGGCATTTCTCTGAAGCCCCCAGGCCTTTATTCCCCATCCACCAACCTTCCTCCTTGCCTCCAGCAACACAGGTGTCTCTGCACCGCCAACGTCTCATTGGCTATCCTTGCTGCATTTACAGCTTTCTCAGCGTGTTGACTGGTGACTCCCTGCTCCCTGTCTGTGCTGAACCTCCCTAGGCTGAGTTCATCCATAGGAGATTTAGTGAATGGAACTTGAATTAATTTTGAACTAAAGTTTTAACGCATCAAGCCCTTATCCCTTTCTCCTGAGTCAGTGTTGTTTTCTTTTGCTTTGATTGAATTTTGTTTTTCCTTGTCTCAACCTAATAATATTAAGTGGTTTACTATCTTATGTCCTCAAAGTTCTTGACACATTTCCCACTTGGATGTCTATGCATACATGCATATATATATATAATATTAGATATAGATATATAGGATTTATATATGTATATAAGAAATTAGCTATATATAAATATAAGATATAAGATTTATATATAATACATATGAGATGTAGAAGACATTATATGTAACATATATGTCATATATAAGAAATATTATCAATATAGGGGCTGGGAAGGTGTCTCAGTGGTAGAGCACTTGCCTTGCATGCTCGAGGCCCTGGGTTCAATTCCTCAGCACCACATAAGAAAAAAAAAAAAAAAAAGCTGGAAGTGGTGCTGTGGCTCAAGTGGTAGAGCGCTAGCCTTGAGCTGAAGAGCTGAGGGACAGCGCCCAGGCCCAGAGTTCAGGCCCCACGACCAGACCCAAAAAAAAAAATAAATAAATATTATCAATATAAATCTTATATGTGTATCACATAGTTATCATATATATATACCATATATATCTTATATTATCTCATGTTTTTAAGAAGGAAATACTAAAAGCCGGTGCTGGTGGCTCACACCTGTAATCCTAGCTACTCAGGAGGCTGAGGTCTGAGGATCGAAGTTCAAAGCCAGCCCTAGCAAGAAAGTCCTTGAAACTCTTTTTTTTTGGTTTTGTTTTGTTTTGTTTTTGGGTCCGGTCGTGGGGCTTGAACTCTGGGCCTGGGCGTTGTCCCTCAGCTCTTCAGCTCAAGGCTAGCGCTCTACCACTTGAGCCACAGCGCCACTTCCGGCTTTTTTCGTTTTGCTTATGTGGTGCTGAGGAATTGAACCCAGGGCCTCAGGCATGCAAGGCAAGCGCTCTACCACTGAGCCACCTTCCCAGCCCCCCTTGAAACTTTTATCTCCAATAAACCACCAGAAAATCGGATATGGCGCTGTAGCTCAAGTGGTAGAGTGCTAGCCTTGAGCTGAAGAGCTGAGGGACAGCGCTCAGGCCCAGAGTTCCAAGCCCACAACTGACCAAAAAAAAAAGGAAATACTCGAGTCAAAAAGAGATTAAAATTGGGGCTGGGAAGGTGGCTCAGTGGTAGAGTGCTTGCCTTGCATGCATGAGGCCCTGGGTTCGATTCCTCAGCACCACATAAGCAAAAAGAAAAAAGCCAGAAGTGGCGCTGTGGCTCAAGTGGTAGAGTGCTAGCCTTGAGCTGAAGAGCAGAGGGACAGCGCCCAGGCCCAGAGTTCAGGCCCCACGACCAGACCCCCCCCCAAAAAAAAGAGAGATTAAAATTACTATTTTTGTTTTCTTGTGGTCCTAGGTTTTTAGCTCAGGATTCTGTCTTCGATGCAGTTCCTCTACCCATAGTCCTCTTTGTTTTAGTTATTTTTCAGTGAAGATCTCATGTTTTTGTCTATACTGGCCTTAGAGATTCTCACGACCTCCACTTTCCTGTACTTAGGGGAACTTATGGGTATAAAGCACCTCACCCTAGCAACATAAAACATTAAGAAAATCAACAGTGACCTTCAAGGACATTAAATTTATGAAGTAGCCCAGAGTTAGATGAAGTTAGGATGCAGAAATAGGGAAGAAGGAAAAGTCGACAAATCAGGTTTATTCTCTTCGTAATAAATGGATAGTCTCGCTATGTATATATGCACGTTTGTGCGTGTGTGCATGTCCTGGGGCTTGAAGTCAAGGCCTGGGCACTGTTTCTTAGTTTTTGCACTCAAGGCTAAAGCTCCACTTCCAGTTTTTTGGTACTTAACTAGAGATAAGAGTCTCAAGATTTGTCTGCTGGGCTGCCTTTAACCTTGATCTTAAGATCTCAGCCACTTAAGTAGCTAGGATTACAGGCATAAGTCACTGGCGCCCAACCTCGCTGTGTCTTTAAAGAAATCTCACACTTACTTATTCTTTTTTTCCCTTTTCAGCAATTCCCTGACCAAATTGTAGGATTTGTGCCTCGAAAGCATGTCTCCACGTCCTCAGGTATCTATAATTACGGCGGATTTGAACTACAAGCACCAGGGTTGGTAAATGGAGACCAGTACTCTATGGTGCTGATTGGAGCCTCATTCTTCAGTAGCAAATATCTGGAACTCTTCCAGAGACAGCCTGCAGCCCTCCATGCTCTGATAGATGAAACTCAGAATTGTGATGATATCGCCATGAATTTCATCATCACCAAGCACATTGGAAAGACTTCAGGGGTATTTGTGAAGCCTGTAAATATAATTAATCTGGAAAAGGAAACCAATGGCTATTCAGGCATGTGGCATCGAGCTGAGCACTTTCTGCAGAGGTCTTACTGCTTAAATAAGCTTGTTAATATCTATGATGGCATGCCCCTAAAATACTCCAACATTATGATATCTCAGTTTGGTTTTCCATATGCCAATCACAAAAGTAAAATGTGAAAGGGAAGCAGAGGAAAAACTTGGCACTACTATCTTTAGATCTCAGCCTCCTGAGTAGCTAGGATTATAGCCGTGAGCCACCAGCATCCAGCCAGTTGATTGTTTTCATGAGAAGCCTGAAATGCCTCTTGAGCAAAAGCCCGAAGTGCAGGGAAAAGCCATTAAAGAACATTTTAATCCCATGTGAAAAGGAACTTTTGTCGTTCCCCTTGCTTCCCCCATGGCCCTTCTGACTGTGGTTTTGATATAGTCATCAGTGCTTTGATGTTCGTTGACTAGCCTGCTGGGATTGAGAGGGTAAGTGTCATAGAGCAACAGTGTCTAGTTGTTTGCTTGCATTTTGTCAGCATTAATTGCATGAATCACTCCAAAATGCAGTTTCTTATATGCATCAGTGGGCAGCTGGGAGAAAACTGTTATTGCATTTTGTTACTGAGTTTGACCTTGCTAATGTCTATCAATTCCTTATGTTTTACATAAAGTCTGTGTTTTATAAACATGTATAAAATAACTTCTGAAAGAATGACTTAAGTAAAAGCTCACAGAAGTTAAAACCCTTAGTATCAAATGGTTTTTAATATTAAAGCAGAGGTTATCTCGCGGATACTAAGCAGGTGTGTGTGTATCATACACAAATGCTTACATTCAGAACAATTTTCCCTCTCTTTTTTCAACAAGACCCAAAGCACCATATACATCCTGATGAAATTTCAGTTACACCAGATGCACTGACGAGAGAGTCCCAGCAGATGGGACTGTTACATGAATTCATGGCTTTGCCATCCTTGGTATCTGTTTAGTCCTAGATTACTACTGCTGCTAAGGGATACTTCATTAGGTCTTCATCAATTCCTCTTCCTCTTCTTCCTCCTCCTCCTCCTTCCCCCCCTCCTCTTTCCCCTTTCCTCTTCCTCCATATCTTCACATAATGCCTGCACATTCTCAAAATAAGAGAAATGTGAAAATACAGAAATCATGATCCACATTCTAATAATGAGATCCTTGTGGTTTGGTCTACATTGTTTCTTTACATTGGAGTGTGTCCATGCCTGGGTATCATTAGATACGAAGAAAAGAACTTCGAGCCTCCATAATGTCAATTAATCTGCTTTCCCCAAACTTGGTAGTCCATACTTTCTCTTACCTCTTGGTATTCCACTATTGGATAAATAAATAAACTTTAACCATCCAATGTTTAATTTTAATTCAGCAGACTCATGTTTTGTTAAGGGTGGTGTGTGTGTGTGTGTGTGTGTGCTTTATGAGTTTCTTCATATTTAATATCATGGATGAGAAAGAAATAGAAAAACTGCCCACATTCTCCATGGGGAGAAGAGTATTCATGGGGAAAATATTTTCCAATTTTCTTTCTTATCTTGTGTTTTCAGAAATCAGTTAAGCTTGACACTCCTTAATTATATCATGCTTTCAGATATTGGAGAGCAAATACAATTCCATATACATTACCAAGACTCCTGCAAGCATGGTGACTAGACTCTTACTACAATTGCCCTTAAGCTATGTCTCCCAACACTCTTTTGCTTTTAGCTATTTGATAGTCTTGCATTCTTGTCCAGGGCTAGCCTTGGACTATGATCCTTCTATATACTGCCTCCTGCATAGGAAGGATTATAGTCACACCAAAATACCCAGACTGTAGATTGAGATGAGTGTCTCATAGTTTTGTTTAGCCTAGTTTGGTCTCAAACGGTGGATCTCCTAATCTCTGCCTCTGCAGTAGCTGTGATAACAGACATGAGCCACACTGCCCAGCCTTCCTGAACACCTCTTATTCTGCCCCCTTGTTCTTGTTAGTGAGAAAATCGCTGCACATACCAGCAGCAGTATAGCAGAGCAGTCATGTGCAGGTTTTGCCAGTGAGAAGATTCCAGCACAAATCTTTGCCTCAATATTTACTTAACTCTGCAGTCTCAGTTTCCTCATCTGCAAAATGTGAGTCTTTTCTCATTTTTCTTCCATAATGTCTATGTGGTCTCAAAATTGCAATGTGGTGAGAAGGGTAAGTGAGGTATGATCACATGGTACATGGTTGTGAGGAAGAAAGGAAGTGTTAGGTTTTTAAAAAGAGGTAGCCGAGTAAGAACAGCAGCACGCACGTGGTATTCAGGTAAGAGGTAGGTTTATTCAGTAGACCTGCTGGGACCAGGCAAGGTTGGCACTCCACGTGGCTGGGAAAGGCCTAGGAAAGAGAGAGAGCTGGGAAAGAGAGAAGAGAGAGGAAAGAGCTAGAAAAGAGCAGCGAGAGAGGGCCTCTGGGCCTGGGCTAGGCCTTATCTAGGGTATGGGCGGAGAAAGGTGTGGCCACATCAAATTCAGATGTGACCTCAGTGGATGCAGATGTGACCTCTTCCAGGTGTCCCAGTTGCCTAGGTAACGCAGGTACTGGGTGGAGACTTTGCTGTGAGGAGGGTGGAGTCTGCTCCCATCCAGGAGCGGACCTTATAGGAAGTAGCTTACATAAAAATACCACCACACCTTCTCCATGTTCCTGGTTCTGGAAATCACTTAGGAGTGATAGGGTTCCTGACATAAGGGCAAAATTAATGGCATAGAAAAGCCCTGCAGGCACCAGGTAGAACAGGAAGGTGTCACTAACAGACAAGGAGCCATGGAGTTTCTCTGACCATCACCCCAAATACCTTCAGTCTCATCACAGAAGCAATACATATTCAATTCAGCAACTTTGGCATAGTCAGAAGATGACCAGGAGGAAGTTAAAAGTCCACCTACCCAATTAGCAATGGCATTTTGGAAACATCTTTTTCAAGGAATGTTTCAAAAGCATACCTTATTTAGTATTACATTGTATGGCTAAATCATGATTTATGAAGTTAATTATCATACTACCATTACTGGTGGGGCTTTGCACTCTGGCCTGACTTTTACACTCAAGGCTGTCACTCTATAACTTGAGCTACAGCTCCATGTCTGGCACTTTGTGTGTGTGTGTGTATGTGTGCTTAATTGGAGATAAAAATCTCATCAATTTGTGCCCAGGCTAGCTTTAAACAGCGATCCTTATATCTCAGCCGCCTGAGTAGCATGGATGACCAACATTTAGGCATCCTTGCCTGAGCACTTATCTGTGAGCCTAACTGTAACTTCTTTAAAACCAAGTCCAGCGACGTTCAACACCTGGATCTCTAGTGGTTTTGTGTCTTTAGAGCTTTTGATACATATTGCTAATTGCCTCCAGAAGGGTTGCCATGGCAATGTCGTTTCTCAGAGCACCTGTTCCCTATTAGCCTTCCCAATTTCACATATTTAAGTTCTTCTGCCATTTGGTTATTCCATGTACAAAATATTTGAATGCTGCAGGATTCTGAAGTTCTCCCATTCCCAGCATGCTAGAGAAGACTGAAAAGACTGGCAAGCAAGGGTTCTATGAGCTTTTGAAGTTGTATAAAGTTCATGTGTGTGTGTCTGTGTGTCTGTGTGTCTGTATCTGTATCTGTGTCTGTATCTGTGTCTGTGTCTGGTGGTACTGGGGCTTGAACTCAGGGCCTAGGCGCTGGTCCCTTCGCTTTTTTTGCGCAAAACTGATATTGGTCCCCTTGAGCCACAGCTCCACATCCAGTTTTTTGGTAGTTAATTGGAGATAAGAATTTCATGAAGCTGGGCACTGGTGGCTACTCAGGAGGCTGAGATCTGAGGATGGCAGTTCAAAGCCAGCCCAGGCAGGAAAAGTCTGTGAGACTCTTATCTCCAATAAACCACCAAAAAATAGGGAAGTGGCGTTATGGCTCAAATGGTAGAGTGCTAGCCTTGAGCTGAAGAGCTGAGGAACAGCACCCAGGCCCAGAGTTCAAGCCCCATGACCAACAACAGCAACAAAAAGAATTTCATGGACTTTTCTACTAGGGCTGACTTCAGTTGCCCAGATCGCAGCCTCCTGAGTAGCTAGGATTACAGGAGTGAGCCACCAGTGCAATGTTCTTCAAGAAGCTTTGAATGTGCTTCTAGAAACTTGACACAGTGAATTGCTGTCCTTTTCCTTGTCCCACCAATAAACCATTTTAAAGCAACAACGTCAAAAAAAAAAAATTGCTCACGTGTTTCCCTTAGAAAGACCTGAGGCTATGACCCCAAGATTCTAGATTCTAAATGAATGAGTGTGGTGGGGGGGGGGGGGGGGGAGGGTGGGTTTCTGTAAGTGGACATGCGCTAGAGACACTAGTCCCAGATGTTGACCTGCCAGGGTCCTGCCAACTATGTTTTCTCTCCTCACATCTGCATCCTCCCATCCTCTTCTTTGCTTCTGCTTTCACAGAGGCCTTCTCAATGTAAAACCCATGTATTTTCAGGAATACTCCAAGTTCTGGCACCACTTATTTTCCTTCTCTGCAGAATAAGGATGACAACATCTGTCCTAAAACTGTGTTTCAGAGAACACAATGTACAGGAAAGAATTTTGTAGTGTCTGGGAAAACAAGATTTTTTTTTTAAAAAAAGCTATTACGGATAAAGAACTGCTTAGCTTAAGGGTTTAAGAAAAAAATCTGTTATAAAGTAAGGTATTAAAATTTTCCCTTGGAGAATGAAAAGAAGCTAGAATAGCTGGGTGCAGTGGCTCATATTTGTTATACCAGCTACTGCAGAGGCAGAGCTGAGGAGGACGGCAGTTTGAGGCCAGCCTAAGCCAAAAGAAGTCTATCTAGTCCCCTTCTCAGGCCGAGTGTGGTGGGATGTGTCTGTAATCCCAGTTAAATTCACAGAAAGCTATAGGTCTGTGGCTTGAACTGAGGAAAAACATGAGATCTTACCTGAAATTTAAAAAAAATAATAAATAAAAAAGCAACAAAAGGTCTAGGGGCCCTGAGCACGCTCATGGCTCAAGCCTGTAAACCTAGCTACTCAGGAGGCTAAGATTTGAAGATTGCAGTTCAAAGCCAGCCCAGGCAAGAAAGTCCGTGAGACTCTGACCTCCAAGAAAAACCCAAAAACGCCAGTATTAGAGCTGTGGCTCAAGTGGTAGAGTGCTAGCCTTGAGCATTTGAAAAGCTCAGGGACAGTGCCTGGGCCTTGTGTTCAAGCCCCAGAACTAGCACATACAAACAAAGGTAGTACTCAGGGGTAGGAATTGACTCAAGTGGTCATATGTGGGCAAGTATAAGACCTTGAGTTTAAACTCCAATATTGAAAGAGAGAGAGAGAGAGAGAGAGAAGCTATAACAGAATGAATATTTCAATGAAGTATTTAATCTGGAAATGACTCTGAAGCCTCTCTTTAGCTCAGTATTTCTTTTAGGTTTTTGTTGTTGTTGTTTGGCAGTGGTGGGGCTTGAACTTGGGGCCTCGGCTCTGTCCCTGAGCATTTTTCCTGGAGGGTAGGCACTACTGCTTTGAACTACAGTGTCACTTCCGGTTTTCTGGTGATTAATTGGAGAGAAGAATCTCAGGCTGGCTTTGAACCATGATCCCCAGATCTCAGCCTCCTAAGTAGCTAGACTTACAGGCATGAGCCACCAGCACTGGGCTTTCTTTCAGTTTTAAAAGAAAAAGAATTAAATGCTAACTGAAATA